AGCCAGCACTGTGAGAAAAAGTAAGCTCTGAGACTGAAATTGGTTGAGTGTCATCTGGAGCAGCAATGCCATCCAACGCACGCAGCTCAACACCAGAGCCACTCCAGTTACATCAGAGGGCACAGCAGCTTTGTCATCCCAACCCGGAGCACTGGCAAAGCCAATGTCAGGGAAAGAGCCCTAAAAACACTCTCCAGCACTACAGCAGGTTTCAAAATATTTTTTTAAGCTCTTCCCAAATCTCTCCTCCTGTTCCTCACGTGAAGAACCACGAGTAGAGCGACTGTCCCTGCGGCCCCACGAGGATGGTGGTGGGGGGGGGGGGGCACAGAAATTGCTCTCACCGCCGCCAGGCTGCGGCAGCCCCGGACCCAGGTCGAGCCTCGCTCCCAGCGGAGAGGCGAGGAAGGGGGGTCGCACGGACAGACCGCGAGCTCCGGCAACCCCCCGGAAAGCCGCGCCGCCTTCGGGCTGACGACGACCGTTTCATTACCGAGCCCCGGCGTTGCAAAACCCGCAGAAGCTCGAGGTGTTTTGCAAGAGCCATGTGACACACACATGACTCGCGGCTAAGCGAAGGGCGGACCTCCGCCTGCCGAGCCGCCGGCCCGGATCGGCTTTCACAAAGCGCCGTTCCCCCGCAGCCCTCCGAGGCCCGGCCGCGATCGCACTGCAGCCCCGCCGTTCCGTCCCCAAGCACCGCCCGCCGTGGCGTTCCGCCGCCGCCCTTCGGCCCCGTGGCCGCGCCCCGTCACCCGGCGCCGCGGGAAGGCCGCCTGCAGGAAGGCCCCGCTCCCCACGGCCGTCCCGCTGCGGCCCGCTCGCCCCCGCCCATCCTCTCGCCGCCGTCCCCCGCCCCGCACTCACTATTCGGGGTTCATGCTGGACATGTCCGTGGGGCCCGCGGCCCGAGGGACGGCGAGCGCGCTGTGAGTGGTGGCGGTCGCGGCCTGGCACCTCCCGCCGCCGAGGCGGGCGCTCCGCGGATGCAGGCGTCCAACGGCTCCCGCCTTCTCTCGGCGCTCGGCTCGGCCTGCCCGTCCGCCGGCGCCCTGCCCGCTCCGCGGCCTCCGCGCTCGCTCCTCAGCCCAAAATGGCTGCCGGAGCCCAACCAGGAAACGGGGCGGCGTCTTGCCGAGCGGCGCTTACATGGCCGGGGGGCGGCCACGGGGCACGCCGGGAAAGCGAGTCCGCGCCCCGCCCGCCGCCCCGCGCGGACGGCGGCAGCGCAGGGGGTCGGAAGACTCGCTTTCCCGTCGGCCCCCGCGGCGGCGGCAGCGCATGCGCGCCGGCAGGCCTTTCTTCCCTCGGCCCCGTCGGCGCGGCGCGGCGCGCGGCGCTGCGCATTGGCCACCGAGGAGCCGGCCGGGGTGACGTCGGCGGGCAGACGTGGCAGCCCGGGCGAGCCGGCTGGGCGGGGCCTGGCGGGGCGGGGCAGCGGCCTGCCGAGGCCTGGCTGCCGTTGTGGCGGTGCGGTCGCGGTGCCCATTGGGCCGGTTGGCGATGGAGCGCTATCGCGGTGCTTGCACACGTGTTCCCGCCGAGGCTCTGCCCTTCCTGACCGAGCAGGTCGCTGAGAAGCCGTGCTGGGATGGCGGGCGCTCGGTGCTGCTCAGCCCTGCGCATCCCAGCGGCTCCACATAATCGCCTGGGGAATGTCAGTCCCCGGCGACACGTTATCTGGCATCCCTTGGTTACAAAGGGCACCGTGTAACGCGTTGACCAAAGTTTATTATCCAGGTGGCTCAAAGGAACAGCCCGCAAACAGCCTGTGTGCTGCTGCCTGCGTCCCGTGCCAGCACTCCCGTGGCAGCAGAGCTCAGTGCCCACAGGAGCTGATCATCTTGTTTCCCCACAGTAAGACTGTGATGAGCTGCTCGTGCTCCATGCGGCTCTGCGTTTGTAGCGTGGTTACGTTAATTTCCAGAAAGGAAGTCAACAAAGTGTGCCAACTGAAATGGGAAATGTCGAGCATTGGTTTTAAAAGCTCTGGGTTTCCTTTGCTTGCTTGTGTTGGTTGTCAGACAGCGACCTCCGTGTGGATCGGTCACGTTGCTGTGCATTCTGCTTTTGTGGTGGCCATCATGGAAGGCTCTGCTTCCCTTTCCCTATATGGTGTATGTGTGAAATAATACTCCCCATCTCCCCTTTTTTAATGCACACCACCAGAAATGCAGTGAAACCTTTGAAACTCTCTCTTTTCACCCACTTTTCTCTTACATATCATATTTGAGATGCTCAGTGGGAGGTGACCGGAAGCACAGGAATATCCCAGACAGAACATTGACAGAACATTGTTCTCTGCTGCCACAAGTTGATGTTTGTTCTATTAACGTTTTAACACTTCTACCTTTTTTGTGTGTGAATGTTGAAACAAACAGCTCCAACCACCCCAATGCCTTGTTCTGTTTTTCTGAGGAGTAATGCTGACAGGCCACAGAAAAGAGAGCTCTGCCATACTTGGTGCAGTAGAGAATCGGCAAACTCAGAGCATACACAGGAACAAACCAACTCTGGCTCTAGCAAACTATGAAAGCTGCAGATTAGATTTGCTTCTGAAGTAGGGCACAGGTTGATAAGAATGTGGGATGCTGCTTCATCGCAGAGAAATAATAGCTTCCATGTCTGAGAAAAGCATATTTAATCGGTACAACCGAAGCAGTGGCACAGCAGGCAAGGTAACCTGTCACTGCAGGCTGCCTATCTGCTCTGGGAGGGCAGAACTACATGGTGTCTGTTGGGAGGTGCAGGCTGAGGTCATCTGTTGCTGTCACAGTTCCGTACCTGTTGGACTGGATGAACAGGCTGGGACCACTGCCTGCTTTCCAGCTGGGATGGGAGCAATGATATATTGTCTGTGTCACAGCATATCCTGTTCCTCCTCCTTCATTAAGTGGGTATCATGGTGTATCCTGAACACCACGAACCACTGGATAGTCCAAGAGGCCCTCCCGGTCTCTTACTGAAGGGAGGATAACATAAGCAGCAGTATCATGTGCTGGCTGGAGAAATATTATTCATATACCCTCAGGGCTGAATTCTGCCTGTGCCAATGGGACTGATTTTATCCTGTTAGTGAAATCAGCTGCAGAATTTCCTTTGGCTCCAGCTGTACTGTGCTACCAGAACAGCCTAGGAAAAGGCATGTGTGTAGGTTGCCTTGAACTGTAATGGCCCTCCCTGGTTCTGTGTGCCTTGTTTTCACTAACTTGACTCAGTAACTCCTGTTTTTGAGGTTGAACTCTGCTGGTTCTGACTGTTGTCCCAACTTAGGTGACAGGCTGGGACCTACCTTCCCCGTTTCCCACCTCTCCCCTCCCTAGGCCACAAAAGGTGCCCATGGCAGCTGCTGCCAGAGGATGCTTTGGGAAATGGGGGTGGAAAGGGGACAGGACACAACTTAGAGAGTGGGAAGGAGAGAAAGAGCAATCTGTGATGGCTACAGGCAGATGTAAGGGGGGAGAGGAAGGAGGCAAAGCAGCACAAATGATGGTGGAAGAATGCAACAGCTGCATAATCCACTTCTGAGCACAGATGCTGCACTGCAGTATGGAGCCCATGTGCCTGCTCTGTTGCAGTGCTGACAGTGGGACTGCGAGGGTATCACCCCTACAGACTGCAGAGAGCATTGAACTGCATGAGGTTCACTCCTCCTTCCTCTTCTGCCCTCATTTCATACAAAAATGTTCTATTTTTTAGCTATATCATCATGCCACACACTCACAGGGCAAGGGCTGGTTTCAGGTCTGCTGTCTACCAGTTTTTAAACAGTTTTTACCTTCGTCTTGAACCAAAGATAGGGAGAATCAGGCCTCAATCTGACTCAAATACTGCCCTCCCACAAAGCTGCCATGTTAGCACAGTGGTGTTCAGATATCATTTGGCCTCTGCCAGTGTCCTTTTCCCTAGACCTTGTGTAAAATGAAAATAAAAAATAAAACTGTTTCTCCACCTGTCTTCCTCTGCTCTTCCTTCTCCCTCCCCTGCTCAGTGTCTGGTACATGCTGTGGGAAGGTCACAGGCTAACAAATGCACAACCAGACCGAGAAGGTCAGGTACCAGGAACACACAACAGCAAGCTGAGATTCTACAAATGGCAGTTTTGATACTGGGAGTCCTGGGGAACAAACAAACACTGATATCAATAGCAGCCCGTCTCTCCTGTACTGCTCACAATCCTCCCATGTATTTAATCTCTTTGCAGTGCTGTTCAGATGCCGATGTTTTTCTAACAGTACAACCAGTCCATTTCAGGTGTGCTGGCAGCACATCGAAAGTGGTATTGGCATATTCTTCTCCTCCTTGTGAATTCTTAATTTAGGAAATAAAGGTCAAAGGAGAAGCATGTAGCTGATGGGCCCATGGGTAGCACTGAGAGGGAAGGAGCCAAGATCTCCAATGTACTATTTCATCTGTATATTCATTGATTGTACAATCAAGTGTCAGGAGCATTTAGTGGGATGTGAGGGATATGCTCCCAGGAGAGCAGACATCCATCTCTGTTGGGGAACTTCTGGAAAGAGTTCTAGCATCTTATTCTGGCTCCTTTCTTCAGAATCCAAGCCTCATTTTGTTTCAGTACTGTGGTGAGCACGTGGGAGTTTTGGGTGTAATTGCCACTCAGATTTGAAATAGAAGATTATATTAAATGGAATACCTGTTAACTTTTATACTTTTCTTTACATTGTTCTTGAGTTTGCATTGTTGGCATAGTTCAGATCTCGATTTCCCAACCTTCTGCAAAACTGACAAGACCACATTTTGTATTGCATGAGCTGCCTCGGAGGAAGCCGTTGGAGCTTTGGCTGCACAGACCTACTGGAAGCAGCTGAACACAGCCAGCTCAGGGCAGGAATTGAATACACCTACTGAAATTGTAGGAAAAATAAGGTTGGAAGAGACACCAAGAGACAACTGAGTTGTATCCTCTGCCTAAATTGTATCTATTTCAATCCAAATAACTGTTTTCTTAAAAGCTTCCAGAAGTGGCAATTCCAGTGCTCCCTTACAGCGCCCACAAGAAATCTAAAAAAGCTCAGTGGTAAAACGATTCCAGTGATAAATTAAGCAGCTCAGGCTTTCAGTTAAGATTGCTGGTGAACCCAGTACATTTTAATTAATAAGTTACATCCTGGCCATCTTTTCAATCATAATCTTCAGCGCCACAAAAGATAAAGAAGAAAGAGCTCAAACCGATGTGCTTGGTGTCTGTGGCTCTGTGCCATCCAAGGATGGGTTCTGTATCTTGTTCTTTGTCATGGCAGCTAAGCCTGAGGACCGCAGCTGTGTGACAGGAGGCCGGACCCTGAGCCACCTGATGCCTCAGCCCTGGTTCCTTTCCTGGAAATAAACCCTTTCTTGCTAATGCAGACTTCAGCTGATTGCCACATAAACATTGGGGCAGAGTACTGCTAGAAAGCTCGCTTGAAAAAGGCCCAGGAACAACAGGAAGTAAAACCACACTGGTTTGCTTAGTGGGGATCATAATACTCTTCACAGATAATGCCAAAGGCCATCTCCTGCCTCTGACTCAAGCATTTTGCAACCCGGTGGAGATAACAGGGTAGCGCACGATGGAATTTGGTCGCTGTGCTCTTTGCCTAGGTATCTATTTGTGTAAGAGTTTAATTCATCACACCAGTTATCATCTAAATGCTCTGGCATGTATTCATCCAACATGGCTGGCACCTCCCTGCTTGGCACAGATGTTATTTAACACTGACATGGATTTAATACCAAAGGTTGTTTTATTGAGTTTTGATGCCAGGGCACTGGAGGAGAGCTTCACCTGGTTAGACTGACAGGCTGCAGTTTTCTTATACATCTGTATGGCATCTAGAAGTGGGCAAAAGGATACATTTCTAGCAAACAATGGCAAATCAAATCAGCGTCTGTACTTCTTTTCATCTTCCACTGCCTCATCCTTTTTCTTCAATATCAGCTTTTTGGGCCATCATTCTCCCAACTCACCCATCACTAACTTAACTTGGTATGGGGCATCTGTTAGCAAGTTTGTGAAGCTGCTTGCATGTCTGTGTACTGCTTAGTTGTGTGTCGGGAGAGAGCATCTCAGACTTCTGTGATGCTCTGTGGATCTGCAGTTGCATAGTTGACCGTCTCGTGGAATTATCAGTTTTCACATGGGCTAAAGATGCAGGGAGGAAGGAGGAACCACCTCCCACACTACGCCTATCTTCAACTTCAGCCCAGCTCCACAGGCACTTTCTCCAAAGAGGATTATTTTGGACTCCTGCCATGCCAATGATTGGATACGCAGTTGGAGAAACAAGTTGCAGCTCAAAGGTGTCACACTAACGAGACCCTCCCCACCCCCAAATACAGTGCATGCCGTGCTTGGGCCCCCACAGTCTTCTGAACACAAATCTTCCTTACAACTCTGTGTTTTTCTTGTTTCTACTTCTTATAAGTATCCTGCTATATTTCATGCCTGAAAGAGGCAATAGGAAAGAGATCAACAGGAAGGCACAGGATCAGTCAGCAAGGACATTTAGTCTACCCAGAGCTCTGAAGCACACCTCTCCTTGCTGCTGAATCATTCTGTAAGCTGGTGCATTTCACCTCAAGAGTTTTATTATGGAATTTAGAGAGATCTGAAAGTATGCTTACATAACAGGTTTGTCCTATCAGTATTGTTGATAATTGCATACCTTCCTTGGCTGGCAGTCTAAACTGTGAGTAGTTATACACTGAATTGAACTAACAAATAACAGAAAACCAGATGGGATTCATCTGTTATCACTGTTATTCAGCATTAATCCTTACATGTAACAGAAACGCAGTGAGAAAGCTTGGGCTCTGTGTCTGTTAAGAACCAAATGCCTTCATCCTAACACAGCACATCTGTAAGGCTAGTCAATTAGATCTGTAATTGACAGCCTTTACTCCAATTCCTTCAGATGGCAGATGAGGATAAAGTATCATCCCTATTATTTCAGAGCCAATCTCGTAATTCCTGTTATCTGTATCACACAAGGATACGCACCACCACAGTCCTGTGAGGAGGATGGTATAGACCAGTTTAATAAAATCTTTGATGAAGCAAAGAACAGTTTTTGAACTGCAAAATACTCTGAATTTTGGTAACAGATTTTGGAAAAAGAAATAAATTCAGCTTATAACTTCAATCAGTGAATTCAAGTGGTAAAGCTCACTATCATGGAACAGCCAAGACAAGAAACAAGCACTAAACAGATTCTTTAGTCCACAGAGGGTGGGTTCTAAATTCTGTCTTTAGAAACTTAGATAATTAGACTAGTTTCCAGGTATACCAAAAAGATTCTTGCTGATCTCAAAAGACTGCTTACCACTGTGGGTGAGGAATGGCCAGTGAAGCTTACAGGTCACCAGTGGATTTTCTTGTAAGATATAATCTTCTATGGCTGGAAGGGTTGTTGCACAAATTCATCCATGCTGTCCTTCTCCTGAGATCAGACAACACGGAAATGGCACTGATGAGGCAGCTCCAGTTTCTCCCTAAAAGCGAACCAAAGGAGACAGAACAGATATATAATTTCAGGAGCTGTAAATTAGCCACTAAGGATTAAAGAGAAAAAAAAAAAAAGAAAATATTTACATTCCACTGGTAACAATGGTGAAAAATAATTAGAAAGAATGTTGTCCAAAATCAGGAACTAAAATTATTTATAGCTATTTAAAGATGAAGTAATAAACAATTAAACACAATCAGTTCCTGCACACACTGCCTATGTTCATTAACTAATGAGATTCTTTCTGTACTGTGGAGAAAACAGGTCACATTTTGAACGCATGAGCTTATTCAGATTCAGCTGCTATCTAGCACAATACTGTTCCATTTAATATTCATTCCATGGCTAGTGTTCAGTGTCCAAATACAAAACTTGCTCATGGTTCAGAAGATGTGGTAAGATCATCACTAAATAAGGAGCATCACAAAGCTGAGTGGGTTGGAAAGTCACTGGGGTTTATTATCTGAGATAGCATTTGAACCGAAAATCAGAACAGCCACACTTGATTTGCTATTGGCTATCCAGCTGAGATCCACATGGAAGAGATACAGCACATGGGGAAAAGGGCAACAGCTTCCACTGAGCTGATTTTTAGTTGCTGTTAGTTCTAAGAGTAGAGTTTGGAAGGAGCAGTGGACTACTGCTCTCTCCATCAACACGTAATTAACATTATTGGAGACCCCAGCATCCTTCATTAATGGAAAACGTGCCGCCAGCTCTTTTCTAGTGCAAGCCCCTGCACTAATGTGGCACTTGCCAGATGTAGTGACCCCTGACTCCGTGTGGGGAGGCACACACTTCTACACATCTACGAGGCCATGGTTCTCCCCCAAGTCCTGTCTCAAGGTGTCATTCAGAATTGTGCAAAGTGATGTAAAATAATAACATTTCATGGCTACGTCTGTTAAGCTTCATATCATAAACATAAAAGACTGCTGAGAAGGATGCAGCCTATCTAAAACTAAGAAAGCAAGGGAGAACTGCAGTGGCAGTATGTCATATTGCAACACATGCTGCAGTCAGAGGAGAAAATAAAGCACAGACCTTTGTTACTGCTTTCTGTTCATGGAAACAACAAGACCGGTGGGCAGTCATGTCCATGGCAAGAAGAGGTACATCAAGTGAGCTGTGGTTACAGCACTTAGTCCAGCTGTAGTTTTTTTAGTCTCATTAAATGCACAAAACTGAGGCAGAAGTGACTCCTCAATAACATTGCTTCTAAGCAATTGACAGCAGAGAGCCAAGATATTGGCCTATGACAGCAAGAGAGAAAAGAGCAATCCAAGAAAGTTCCAGCTGTAATGTTATGTTTGTTGCAGTTATGCCAAGTTCAAACACATTTTCTTTTCCTACTCAGTGCACTGTCAGTGCCCCAAAGGGGCAGTATGGCATGTACCCATGAGACACAAACCCTGCAAGAAACACAGTGGGATATACATATTTAGCCTAATGGGAAATAGCTTTTAGATGTTTAAGTCAAGGTTAATGCTAATTTGCACCTCTTGCTTAATATCTGAGATTGATAAAAGTGAATAACAGGATAAAAATACTGCCCTGTGGCCTCCTCTGTATCTAGCATGTATGAATGTCACCCAGTACTTTGGACTCTTTCCCACAGCTGAGCCAAAAGCTGTGTGGAAGGCAGAGCTGAACTGCAAGGAGTGATCCTCTGTTTTTGTAACACAGTTCCTACTTGTCTCCCTGTCCATTTCAGCTGAGCCCCACGCACACACAGCTGTTTGGCAGCACTATTATTAGTGAGCCATTTACGTTTCTCGTTAGTTTATTATACATGCAGAATTCTGTGAGATAAAAAGAAAACAAAAAGCTGCTATTGATATGAAAATGGAGACTGGAGACTGAACCAACAGCACGACCAAGGAAGTTTCATGTTCAGTGGAAGAGACAATGACGATCTGTTTCTTTCAACACAATCACAACCAGCTCAGACAAAGATGCTCACTCTCATTACAGCAGAGCATGTATGGACACTGTCATGCTAACAGAAATGTTAGCTCAGCAGGAATTTGCTGAAGAGCAAAGCAAGGAAAAGCTGTTTATGAAAACTAAGAACTGTAATAGCTCGGTTTCACTTTTGCTTCATGCTTTCAACACAGCAACTGTGAAGCTGCAATCTGAAAAGGCTCTGTATGCTTTCTTCTCTACAGAAGTCTCAGTAGACCAGCTTGCAAAATAGGTCTTCCAGGAATATATTCTGACTAAGAAAGGAAAGCTTTATATATGTGTGTGTATATATATATATGTATATATATATGAGCTATTCATTGAGCCAGATCTGCAAAACTATGCCGCCTGAGAGGAATCCACTTCTTTTAACTATCTATTTGTATACCAGAGATTGAACAAGTGTGGCTGTTCAGCTCCAAAACAAATCTTATAGGAAGAGCGACCAAATGAAAAGGAAACACCTGAAGTTGGACTTCTGAATGTGTGTAAATTAGATTTGTGAAGGGGTTTAAGGACAGTCAGGACCTTTTGGAGGGATCTGCAATCTGCTTCCCTTGTAATCTGAAAGGTTTGAGGTCTGAGGTCTGAAATTGTTGATCTGAAAGATCTGTGTTCCTTCTGTGGGCCAGCAAAGCAGAAAGCTACTTTCACTCCTTTCAGAAAGCATTGGGAGTGTGTGCAGACACAGCACGACAGTTATCTGGCAAGCTGCAGTGACATTCCACCTCTCCAACACTGCACTGCTCCAACTGAGTACACCTTGTCTCACGTGCTGGACATTTGGGATGAGTGACCTCCTGCGTGCAAAGATTTGCACGTTATCAGTCTGCATCAATGACTGAGGGTTAGGAGGATGGAAAAAAGGAGCTTTCATTGTTTGATGTGATGAATGTTGAAAAAAAACAGGACTTAGAATCATATCATGGAATCACAGAATGGCCTGGTTTGAGAAGGACCACAGTGCTCATCCAGTTTCAACCCCTGCTATGTGCAGGGTCACCAACCAGCAGACCAGGCTGCCCAGAGCCACATCCAGCCTGGCCTTGAATGCCTGCAGGGATGGGGCATCCACAGCCTCCTTGGGCAGCCTGTTCCAGTGCATCTCCACCCTCTGTGTGAAAAACTTCCTGCTAATACCTAACCTCAGCCTCCCCTTCTTGGTTTAAAACCATTCTCCCTCGTCCTATCATTACCCACCCTCACAAACAGCCATTCCTCCTCCTATTTATACACTTAGCTTTCTAAAAAATGCTGTTTTACTACAAGACAGCAATGGATTGCTAATTACTGATTGTAAAAATAGATCATTGACTTATATTATATGGATAATTTATGCTGCTTGCATGAAATAATTAAAAATTGCATCCATCTACTGATTTTTATACAGAATATTATCACATTCTGGCAGAACACAGTACATCTGCTGAGAAACTAGCTCATAACGTGCGACACCTCCTATCTCTGCCAATATTAGCTTTATGGATCTAGTAATAATATTATGCTAATAGCTGCTGATTGTTATTTGTGTACCAGACTGTTCCAATACCATGGTGATGAGTGTGCTGTTAATGTCTGGAACAGATGGACAGAACATGAGAGATGTTTGCCTTGATTTTAAGATAAATAGGATTACCTGTTTCATTAACAAGGCTACATGAAATCATGGGCAAAAACACGTGGTCCTATCACCATCTCCAGTTGCTGACAGGAAGAAAAAGACTGCACATTTGTTTTAAGGCACATTTATACCACAAACAATGTACCCTAACTTTCAGAAAGAGCAACTCTTTGAACCACACGTAAAGCCAATGCAGCTGTTTCATGCTGTTAAGAGTAGAAACTAAATTCACCACCTCCTGCTCCTCCCTGCCAGCTGCACAGCTCCTTTCCAGCTCTTTGCAGAGGTGATCCTTGAGGCTGGAGATGGGGGGATTGCCTGTGTGCTGCTCAACACAGTGATTCCTTACCTGTTGATTTTAAGGATACCTCATAAGGAAGAATTGCAACAGCTTCCATCCTCTTTGGAGAAAAGAATTAGAAGAGTAATGAACACTCCTACACCTCATTTTCGATATTACAGAAATACAAGGAGAAAGGTCCTGCTATGTTGTTTCTTTAGCCAGACCATGGAAGTCAAGGTAGCAACTTTATTCTGCACTCTCTTCTTCTCATAGAAATGAGAAAGAAAGGCCATGAGACAGAAGGGAAACATTTTCACTGTAGGTTGTGCAGCTCTGTTTAGAATTAAGACCACAATATTGGAAGAAAAAATATCTCAGGGTACTATAGTATTATACAATACAAGATATGATTCCATATACAGATTGTACTTGATTGAAAAAGCAGTTATGTAGGAAACAAAGCTCTGACACGGAGCGCTGGGGATATAACCATAACAATTCCTTTCCTATCTCAGTGAAAAGCCAAAAGAAGAAACTGGAATCTACTGCTTTCATAGAAGAGCTGCCAATTTCCCACTGGTATCAGAGGCCAGTCATGTTTGGGAAGGAAATGACCTACTGCTGCACGGCAAAAGTAGCAGGTGCAGATGGCATGTGAGCAACTTTCCCAATCACTGATCTGCCAAGGTCACAAAACAGAAAGCACAAAGGTGCACCGGTACAAATGGTTTTAAGGACACTCATTCAGCTCCTGCCAGGTCATCTACAGATTCTGAAAGCACTTCATTGTATTTGGCATGCAAAAAGGTATGAAATAAGGCCACCGACACAGATGAGGTGTCAGATCACCACAGTGATATATTTCCTCTTCCCACCACACACAAACCAAATTCTGCAAATTACATATGTCAACAAGCACTAGCAATATGCTGAAGCACCACAGTCATTTAAATGAATGGCAGTGCCTCGTCTTTAAATTTAATTGTCTGTTCGTGCTGCCAGGAATGCTGTTTGGAACTGTCTGCCTGTCCTGCAGCACTGCCTGGCCTGCAGGCAGCTTCACAATGTCAGGTTGCAGCAAAGAGCTGTGAAAGGAGATGCTCAGAGCCACTGCCAA